AGGGACTCCTACTGTTGAAGAGAACAGGAGCCTCTTAGGGGATGTCTGCGAATGTAGGGTTATCTAGAATAAAGATCTCTCATTTACTGAATGCTTCCTATGGTCCAGTTTCCATGTTAGTGCTTTACATATGTTACTTCATTTATTCCTTACACCAATCATGTGAATAGGTACTGTTATCCTATTTAACATATAAGGAAACTGAGAACTCAGAGTATTAAGGGCAGACAAGGGATCTGAACCCAAGTCTATGTTTGTTTGGATCATGGATACACCTCCAGATTAAATACAATTGTAAACTGATTTGTGCCCCATTCACTTCATTATCTCTGGGACCCTGAGTCCTTTCAGGCTTAGAAATAAGTCCTACTGTTGAGCAGGACACACCCCAATCCCCACCAGCTGCCGGCACACTGAGCAGGCATGCTCTTTCAGAATCAACAGTCTGAACCCTCACCTGAGACTAAACATTTGTTTGGCGATATGATCAAGAGAGGTAAACGCCCAGGGGCCAATGATAACTATGAGTTCTTTCCCCAGACGAGAGGCGATTTGGGGCTCTTGGTGAGATGATAGAGAGGGAATTTAATGCTGAAAATGTCTGGAGAGGCACTGGGAGTTGCCCTCAAGTTGTGCTGGCGAAATGAGAAGTATGAAGATATTAACCATATTCGTGTCATCCAAATACAACAGGCGTTTCAAGAAGGTGCTGACAGTGTGGAACCCTGTGGAGAAGCCATCTGGAGACAGCATGGCGGGCTCATGCTTGGAGATCAGTGGAATCTGGGCCTCAGAAGAACTACCCTGTTTGTGCAGAGATACTCAGAGCTGACGTCTCCTAAGAACTCACGGGCTGTGACTTTCAAAGCAGTGGTCAACCTGAGATGTAGCAATACTGATGAGATACAGTGGTGTGGGCCCAGCTCCAGCTAAGAAGGCATTGTATAACATTTAATACAGCTTTATCTCAAGGGAGCTAGTAAAGACTGGAACTTTGACCAAGTGGACATATCACAGAAAACTGACATCAGCCAACGCTTACATTCATAACCAACTGGGCCAAACTTTCTAGTATATGAGGAAAGTAGAAAGGAAGATAATTAGAATGAAAATTGAGCTGCGATGAGATAAAAGTGCATTTCTCACTGTTTATAGAAAAAGAAAAAATAGTTCCAAAGACTATTAATAAACTACTGTTGGAAAAAGTCTCCCTTTTGAAAGGACTTGGAGAGGATCGACAATTGCTGCCCTTTTAAATGCTGCCATGTAAGGAAACGGTCAGAAGAAAAACGATGTGTGTTTGCAGGTGTCTTACTCTGTGAATTCCTTTGCTATATATATATCCATGTGCCTCAAGGCAAAACATGAGTGACCAGATAGATGGAGGTGATAGAAAAACTGAAAGGTAGAGGGTAAGAAAGGGAAAAATAATCTGAGAAACAGTATCATTTGGTGAATCTTCTGTCAGAAGAGTTCAGAGGCTGCTCACTTATCTCAGAAGGAAAAACAGCTGATCCTTGAATAGAAGGCAGGAGAAAATATTCTTTGAAGTGGGAGTCCACAATTGCAACAATGCTTGGTCTCTATTCAGAAAGATCCATATGTGGCAACTCACTAAAGACATTTGGAAAAAAACATACCTACACATCCATATGTATCAATACCTGTATGTTTTTATATGTCTATATCTACATAGTCACACATCCACAATAATACATCAATAATTCTGTGTGTGTTTAAGAACTTTCCATATCTCTGTAATAGAGAAAACTAGATTTGGTTTCACTGACTTTCAGTGCTTAAGTCAATCATCTGTTCTTAGTAACATCTTTGCATTTCCACTGGTCGGAGTTCTTCACTGAGTACACCGTTTAGCAAAGACCCAGGTGCAGGCCACACTCTGCACACTCATGCCTATAATTAAAGCATGGGGTCTTCATTGGAACAAATGATTTTTCCTTCCCCAAAGAGTCAACACAGAGCTCTGTCTCATTAAATTGTTCATTTATCTTCTGTTTCAGTGGGCACTAGGGGTTTTTCATATTTAACTAGCAAAACATGTGAATAAGGAAGCAGTTTTGATACAGAGCACATCTGGCTTAACTATGTGAAACAAAACAAAACAACTTTGTCATCTGGTCCCCTATAGGGGTATGGGGGCTGCATGTCACTTTGATACCTTAGTTACTGAGGTGTGTAGAATGTCAGGGCTAAAAAGGACTTCCAGTGCCTTTCTGCCAACCCCCTCCCTGGCAGGCAAAGCAGGTGCAGACTGAGGTGCCAGCATGCGGTACCTCCCTCCCAGGCCGGGCCTGCCTTGTTGCAAAAGGCCCAGGCCTCAGGTTGCTGACTGCACCCATTGTACAGGTGGAGGGAGATACAAAACCAAGACTGACTGGGGAAATACAATCCCTACCCCCAAACCGGACAGTACATTTCAACTTTAAAAGAAATCCGATGCAAGAATCAGGAGACTTCATGTCTCCCTGGCCCTCTAGCTGACACACTATTTTACTTTGGGTAAGAAAGCTAATCTCTCTGTGTCTGTTTTCCAAACAAAAACTGCCTAAGCGTATTTTTCCCTAATTCAGTGGCCTCCACTTGGTGGAAGAAATAATAACTATGAAACCATGCTGAGCTCTTTGGATCAAAGGCACTAGATGAGGTATTATGGTAATAATTACTGTTATGGACAACCATAATTTGGACCGCTATGAATTATAAATCTGTTATGTTCTTCTACTAACTTATCTTGATTACCATTATTATGACTGTAAATGTTTTGGATGTGTGTTCACTCTGAACATCTCCATTTGGCAACACTACCACATATCCATTAATTTTTTAAAAAAAGCAATATCCACAGACTTCAGTAATTCTCTCCCTCTCGGATATTACTTTATAAATAAGAAGCTTTCATGGAATAAAATTAACAACAACCCCCTCCAATTAACTAAGACATTCAGTCTTATTACACTATCCGTAAGATGGAGAGCTGGAGCTTTAAGTACATAAGCCCACAAACCTGTACACAAATGTAGTTCAAAGACCAATGTAATTGAGTAAACCTTCAAAAATAAGGAGAGTGGTTTTAGAGCTTTAGAATAATTCTCTGGTTTTTGGCTAATCATTTATAGCACCTGGCTGATACTCGTGGCTATTGTTGACAAAAACCAGAGAGCTGAAATATGTTCCAGGGGTCGTCCCCTGCACTTCCCCTGGAAATACAGATGTGATGAGGCAAAAGTCATTTGCTTAGGGAGCACACGAGATGGCGGCCAGCTTTTACCTGAACATGACGGGCAGCACTGTCCCGGATGAATGGTGGGGTTGCCACAGGCAGGCACCGGGCAGGTGATCAGAGCACACATTTCCCGTCCACTGTGACAGTAGCATTCCCGGCACCCATCATGCCAGCTTTCCTCATTTTTATGATGATGACCATCCATGGACAGACATGTGCCTGACAGGACGGGTGGCCCGGCTGCAGCAGGGACCTCTGGACAGACAGAAGGCAGCCTGGTAAAGAAGGAGCTACTGCACAGGAGAAACAGCCTGTAGTTCCTTACAGGTAATGCTACCCAGCCACCAAAAATCCTGTCTACACAGCACGGCTTGTGACACAGGGAAGGATCATGAAAAGAATTTAAGTTAATATGCTCTCAATTTTGAAAAAAGAAAAAAGGGAGTAAAAAACCCTGCAAATACATTTCTCTGCTATTGGTAGGCTTATAACTTTTCTTTCCTCCCTTCACTCCACATTCTCATATTCTATACAGTAAACAAGCACTGACTGATTTCAGCGTGAATGTTACACATATGTTTAATACATGCAGAATAATCACTCTAGAAATCATCATTCAGTGGGGCAATCCTGGGCCGCTAGTAACTAACAGATTTTCGTTCTGCAGAACAATTGAAGCAGTGACTAGATTTTTGTTTACTCTGACCCCCTAAAAACACTGTTAAGGTGGTAACTGTCCAACTCTGAAAAAACACAGAACAAACTTTAGGGGTCTTTTACTGCTTCATCTGTGGCTCGTGTGGACAACTAAAACTAGCTGGGGTGGGCAGTGGCGCTGGAGCTGGGGTAAGGGCTCACACAGCTTCAGGAACATCCCTTGAGGGGGAAGTCCTGCACAAGGTACTCCCAGGACTCACACCTATACACAACTATAGGCTGGCATGTGGTTATTCAGCAAAAGTCTACATTCTCAGGGAAAACTCTGTTACCAAGAAAATACACAAGCAGACTATTTAGCCTCACCCACCCTCAAAGGGCTGTGAAAAGGGACCTTTGCTGTATCAATCGTCTCGATCCACTGCTGGACAGAGGGAGACTCTATGGAGGTCAAGATAAAGATGCTTTAGGCTAAAGTTCCTGAGACAAGTAAAACTGAAGAGCTAAGAAGTGATTAATTTGGTCAATGTGGGGTCTGTTCCTTTAAGTTCTATTCTGAGCTCTTATTCCATTGAGATGAAAGGACAAGGGATGGTCCTCTAGAGAGTGACAGTGGTGTCAGAGTGGACAGCAATCACTGAAATTATTTCACTGACTTCTGTTCTTGGTTTCTGTGCCTCTGATTGCTCTGAGCGGGGAAGGGTTATGCGTTGGGACTTACCTCTGCACTTGCAGATAAGACAGCCACGACTGTCCTGCTGGAAACCCAAGGGGCAGATCTTACTGCATGGGAGCTCTGGGCATTTCTTACAACGACAGATGTCACAGCCATGCTTATTCTTCCTGGGTAATTAAAATTTTGTCACAGGTTAGGAAATCCAAAAGTCTCAAGTGATGCCCAAGTGCTTAGACCAAGGGTCACTGAAGTGATATTCTCATTAAGCAGAATGACTTGAGCTTCTGCTCTCAAAACCCCCTGGAGTGATGCATAATTAGCTCCCTGTGGCCATGACCACCAACCACCCATGGCCAATGGTTAGAATTGTCCAAGCACTTAGGTGCTCTAAGACGTGACTGTCAGAATCCCAATGACGTGACTGTTGATTTAATTGGGAAAAGTGGTACCACAGTACAAAAAGATGAATGTGCAGCTCCATGAATAGGAAGGTGAAGGATATATTGCTGGTCAATGTTGGAGGCCAGCATTAGGGCAGAAGTCCTTCTTCTGTCAGAACCACAGGCTTCCTCAGACGACCACATTCTCTTGAGAAATTTCAGACGCTACTAAACATTTTACTGAGATATCTACAGAATTTTTTAGCAGATAGGAGAACTTAAGGATCCACAGACCTGGGAATGCTACGTCATGTTGTACATGTAGATATCTTGTATATGTTGATGAAGAACAAAACGTTTAAGAAGTCCTGCAGTCAATGTCCAGTAATTACCTCATTAGGCAGAAAAGAATACCAACTGAAAAATGTTCCACCTGTGGGGCATGACTGAAGCATGGAGGATAAAGGGAAAGGGCTAGATGAACTTTTTTTTCCCCTTTAATAAGATACAGTGCCTAAATTTTGTGTTGATCAGAAAGATATTAAATAAATATATGTTTATTAAAAGATCACCATAGTTTAAGTGGACAAAAAAATTCTTAGCAACAATTCCTTATTTTCTCTAAAAGGAGAATGACCCTCTCTATTACAAAAGGTGCTAACCTGCCCTCCTGTGTCTTCTGTCCACTACCTGCAGCTCCTCTCTTAGGCTCAACATCTCCTCTACAAGCTTTGCCCTAGTTGGGCTTCCTGGGCAGCAGAGAAGGCGGAGTTAAGTCTATTAATCCTTAGGTTTCATCCCAAGGAGCCCTAAGTAGCAACAGTGGTGTTCAACTAAAAAAATAAATCCTGTTCTTTCTCATCTTGGACAAGTTAAGGGGCTCTAAAAGAAGATGGCCCCCGGGGCTTCCCTGGTGGCTCAGTGGTTGAGAGTCTGCCTGCCGATGCAGGGGACACGGGTTCGTGCCCCGGTCCGGGAAGATCCCACGTGCCGCGGACCGGCTGGGCCCGTGAGCCATGGCCACCGAGCCTGCGCGTCCGGAGCCTGTGCTCCGCAACGGGAGAGGCCACAACAGTGAGAGGCCCGCGTACCGCAAAAAAAAAAAAAAGAAGATGGCCCCATGGGAAATCCTTGGTATATAACTGCCCAAGTGACAAACTACAATCTGCTAAGTGAAATGAGAACTGAACACTAGGGTCTACGTATTTACATCAATATAATGAAAACAATGAATTAAATGAATGCTTCACACTCCTGTCATAGACTGTGCCATTTTCAAGCCCTAACAGGGCTTTAACAGATTCGTTTGTTAACTCATTTATTCACCTACCTGTTCCTTCTTCCTTCTCCCATTCCCTTCTCTATATATTTCTCCCTCAGAGGCTGTCCTTGAAACATGTGCTAGCCAATGCAGTATTCGTTTGCCTACAAGAGTCAACTTGGTCTTTCTTGAATGTGTTTACTGACAGGAATACCAAGTGGAATCTATAATCCTCTAAGAGTTTTCTCTCCAAGGTGAAGTTTGGATGAATGCAGCCTTGGTTCTGAACTATCATAACACTGCAGCCAAGTGGTTGTAGGTACTATTATGATAATAATACTTTATTCTACATCAGCAGGTAAGCTAAGAAATAGCTCTACTTTTATTAATATCATATTCATATTTTAGGATTAAGAACAATGATGATTTATTAGTTTACTTGGGGAATTTTAAAGAATAATGTTCCCAAGCTAATTATCCAATTAGAATTAACGTTCCCCTCTCCCTGCTAAACTAGAATTTCTAAAAGGAAGAATAAAAACAATGCCTTTAAGATGCTGGGCAAGAGGTGATGGCTCTAAATCCCTTATAATTACTAGCACTATATAAACATATCAAATGGAAAAGGCAGAGAGACTAAACTGGAAGGAATCAAGGCAGGCACGACAAAGCAAAATTCTGAAAGGTTATTTTTAAGGAACCAACTTGACATAAAGACAGAAGTAGATTCTGAGACAGACACAAAAGTAACAAATGTGAAATGTCTATTTTCCCCCTAGAATAATCTGAATTTTCATGGGATTTGATTCAATAAAGAATATTTAAAAGTACAAGTCATAGTTCTTATCACCAAGGAAATTCATAAGATCTACTGCTATTTTAAAGAATACTATAAACGTAGACAAGCATCAAGGTAGGACAGGGAGGCATGGCAGGTAAGGATGCTCCATATTGCAAATCAGTAGCTGTCAATTCATCTTAAAATATAGATTAAATACGTTATCACAAAACAGTTGCTGCGACAGTGGTGCATAGTTGAAGCGCTTACAACACTGGAACCTCATGACAGTTCCATTCCCTTTGGCAGTATCCAAAGGCCCTTGCTATGAGGAAATCTCACCTAACAGGCCCAAAGTGTCATAACAAGGCTCCGGCCCATCTTCAAAAAAGAGTAAAACTTGATTCTTATCTTTGGAGATACTGCCTTTCCCTGCTTTCTGATTCCTCTAGCAAAACAAGGATATTCTGGATTCAGTACATTGCTGATTCATTCAGAAACACACACAAAACAGCCAACAAAAAAGGTAAGAGACATTTCATCAAGTTATAGATAATTAAGAATACATCTTCTGAGTTAAGAAATACGTACAGATATCCAAATGGACAATACTTGTCACAGATTATGAGTCTGCACTTCTTGGGGCGTGGGCGGCACTGACAGATCTCACAGTTGTGGGCATCGGTTAGGAAGCCGAAGGGGCAGTCCAAGGTGCAGCCTCGTTTGAGGCCCGTGCAAAGTTCCTCCCCTGTGAAGACACATGGACAGCACATTTCTTCCAAAGATGAAAGGAACAGAACATTTGACACTTCAATGCCTTCCCCTAATCTTCCAATCTTCCACCCATGTAAATTTCTCAGCTCTACCACAGTATCAGCAATGGTTAAAAATTATAGATTGTGCTATTTCATGGTTATCAGAACGTAACTTCATGTTTTGGTACTAATATACACAATAAAGCCCAACTCTGAAAAACAGATTTCTGATCAAACCACTGATTACCATTTATTATTCAAAATGTGAGAAGTGGAAACTTACATCCCAAACTTCATTATGTATTTTTGTTCCTACTGCATGCCCATGAGAAACACATTATTAAAGGTTCACACACATTTACTCTTATGAGTTTTAGATGTTACCATATAATACTGCGTACCATATGCAGCATAAAGCATTGCTTACCCTTTCTTTAAAAGGTATATCTCTAATAACATAATAGAAAGTGAAATAATCAGTGTTCCAATTAGATATTTTTTCCCCTACCGCTGACAAATATCCAGGCATTTAGATACACTTAGTTAACTGACAAAAAAAAAAAAAGTATGTGCCAAAGAAATACCTAGATTAATGTTTAACTATCCATTATTTAAAATGTTCAAACTCTCCCCTGTTAGCAGAATCTGGAGTGATGTTTAACTGTCCTCTGTTAGTCAGTTATAACTTATTTTTGTAGAAGGGAAAAAAAAGGAACAAAGAAATGGTGGCTGGCACAAGAAACTTCTATTAGCTTAATGGAAGCCTTGTAAATAAATTTTAAATGGTGTGATGTAGGGCTTACTAGAGTAATATAGGCAACAAAAATGTTAAGGTAAATAAGAAAAGCATGCTTGGTGATGTAACTAAAGCAAATTGAGACTTCTCTGAATTAAATGCAGAATTTGAAAGATAATCAAATTTAAAGAAGTAGACATGATGATGGCAAAAGTATGGCAATGTTTGATTATAGTTCTGCGTGGACTGGTAAAATGGGAAGCTGAGACTACTTTTGTTGGAATAATAAATGAATTTTATGTGTATATCCTTTAAGCATAAATATTGTAAATAATGCATAAGTTACTGGGAAAAACAGAACACATTTGTCCCCTCCACACACAAATCTTATAACCTAAAATTAAACCTTAACTACAATTAATAGGTGAAATGGGTTCATATTTTACATAAATATTTTAAGATAGCATCTTCTGTGAATCTTAGCTGGCAACACTTGCATATTTAATTTGCTATCTTTTAAAAAGGATAATGTGATTTAAAGTAAAATTTTCTACTTTGTCATCATCATAAACCTTTCATTACACATATTTAATATAACCTCGTGGGTCTGTATCATATTGTGAAGCAACTGATTACTAATTTGCATCCTTAAAAGTGAAATTCTAAACGACTCATTTAAAATTTTGTAATTATATGACTTGAAAGGTCATCATTTTTCATCTCTTTCCCATTATTAAGGGAATGATGGAGGAGGGAGAAGACTGTCAGAGCCACATTTCTTTCTCTGACACCAAGATCTAAGTTGTGAATCCATTTTTCTATTGCAAAAATTTTAAGTCTTGAAACCAAGTAGATTATGTTGAGAAACAGATGAACTAACAACACTGTGAGAACATCCCTGGGGATTAAATTCCTTGAAACCCTGAGTCTGAGCACCTTTGTGCCTTTATTTCTCTGGTCCTGTAAAAAAGGAGTTTTTCTATAATTTTTAATCTAGAATGGGCTTCATCCTTAATGAAAGCTGTTGCATCACTAAGTTTAAAAAATTTGATATAAACTAAGTTTGTCTTTACCTCTGCTTTGCAGTGGAAGGGAATTTCAAGCAAAGGCTGCTATGTGTGAACAAAAATACAGGATGTTCATAGACTTCGGACTGGCTGTGATATCTTGGGCAGGTTGCCACAATGCTGCCCTGACTTGGGACTGCTCACTGCCCTGCTATCTCATTTCTCCTCCCCAGCAGAAGGGAGCTCTAGGGCAGGGACCTATTTTCTTTATTTACACAGTCCAGGTGCTATCATGGTGCTCAGCATGGAGTGAGTGCTCAATAAATACTTGCTGAATGAATGAACCAATCAAGATTCTTGCTATTTACTTGTCTACTCTCATCAAGACTGCCACACTAACAGAAAAATAATGGGATGAAAAAACTTACTGTTAGTACTGAAAAATTTCACAATACTGGCACTTGCTAAACATCTCCAAATACCACCTTCTAGCTTAGAAATAGAGAACATTAAAGATTTCAAGGTATTCCTAGATCCATGTACCAACTATGGATTTTTCTTCAGAGAAGTATAACGTCAAGGCAAACATTTACATAAAGAGCAAACATTTACATAAAGAGCAGAACAGACAGATTAGAAACATCTTATTCATAGATGGGTGGGAGTTTTTAAGTTTGTTTGAAAAGTTTTAGTACATCACTGGAGGCAACCACAGAAAGAATGGTGGCTTTATGTTCATAATTTTTCAACATTATGACTTTGTTGTGATCTAAGAATGCTTTCTAATCCAGAGGGGAAAATTACCATTGAAGAGAAAGTGATAAATAATGGCAAAATACAGAGCCTGTGCATTATGGCTGGCCGATAGCAGCTATGCAGTAAACTTTCTGTTTATTTGGGAGAAAAAAAAGATGTTTTTGCTCCCAGGGCCAAAATGTGGCCCAACTGTGGGGAGCATCGTTTGTACTTTGTTGTAGTTGAACACCATGGAGCCTGCAAACAGAACACAGTGTAATGGTGCCCCTAGAGTTGTGTTGTGCTTCTCTGCTGCAGGACTTCACACTCTTGGGTTCTGGCAATTCTCAGCAACATGCAAGCAGTTAAGGATACCATGAATAAAGTTCCTAAATAAAGAAGTGCAAGACTGCAAACGGTGGTCCCAATCTTGACCTTGATAAGTGTTTGTTCAGAGTAACAAAGAAATGAAAACAGGAGCCTGCCTCCTTGTATATGATGCTGCGACCTTCTTTAGATGCTTGATTCAGATATATGTTTCATGAAAGTTATGAAAGGTTTTTTCTCCCTGCTACCATTAATTTTCTATGTCTACACTGGTTTCTAGTTAAAAGCACTATTAATCCCTAGAATTACAGATTGTTAAAACTGGAAGACCAGTTACAAATAATCTGATGAAATCCACTTGATTTAAAAATGTAGATGATAAGATGCTAAAAGATGGATGCCATTTAATTCACATAGATGTCATTTACTACATATCGTACCTACAGTAAGCTGAAATGTATTATGTATGTTTGACAGCAAACATTCTGGTTAAAAAGGAATGCTACTAACAGCTTGTACCAGTGAAGTGTTAGATTTTTAGTAGCTTATCTAAATGATTATAGTTTTAACTTTTGTTGCTATCATACATTCTTAAGCATTTTCTACCATGTTTCTTTTCTTTATTCTAAGTATGTCTTTGAAAAAAGTTTAAATTCTCTATATGCCCTTGATGCATTACTTTGCTTAGCAGTGTTACAAGAAATGTTATTTGTTACAGGTTAAAAAAGAAAAGCTACAGTATGTTCAAATAAAAGAATCCTTTGTCATATACCTTCCATGTTCTTTTGAAGGACATGTTTCTACTGGGTTTTGATTTCAATCTTCAAGTGACTGTCTATAATATGCTTGATTATATTGCAATAGCATTACAACATATTAGCATATTACCAATATTACCAACACATTACCAAAATTAGTCAGGGATAAGGTCCATTTTTAACTTTTTTATAACCCTAGTTCTTGGTGTATAGTAGGCACTCAATAAATGCTAGATGAATGAAAGAAGGAATGAATGAGCAGACAACAGGCCAGTAACAGGGCAGAAATATTTATGCCAGTGGTCTATATATACAACGTCTAACCCCTAATGGAAAACTTGGGTATAAATGGTTAGGTCCATTGCATGTGAAACAGGCTTTGGTGGGATGCAGAAAAATAACATAAAGGAGAGATTTAGACAAAATCCATACTTATCACGTAGCTGCAATGGGAAAAAGAATATACTTAGCTATCCTTCAGTACCAGGGACTTCCTTTTTTCTAAAGCTAGGCGAAAGAGAGTGAGAATATTCGAGGGTTAAAATTAAAAGGCAAAAGGCAAGTTGTTTGTGTGCGTGTCCTCAGAGAACAGGAAGAACTGGAGGCAGGTTGGTGTCGGAACCAAGGAGGGAAACTGGGGGCTTTCCACGTCAGCTAGCTCTAGCTGACTCAGAAATGCATGTTATAAAACAGCTATCGTGTCAACAATTACCATATGTCGGGTAGTAAAGCTAGCTTTGCATTCACTAATTAGTCCTCAAAACAACCCATTACTTTGGTATTATTACCTGCCCTTTACAGAGGAGGACACAGAGGCTCTAGGAAATAAAGCAACTTGCCCTGATCACCCAGATGCAAGTCAGTTATGATGCCAGAGTCTGGGAGGAGAGCTGGGTACACACAGTCACAAGAATCTGACAACCGAGGATGTGGCAGTTTGACTTAATTTGACTCACCGCCCAAAGGTGTCAAATAATCAGGACTGCTAATGGGAGGGGATGAGAGCAGAATGCTCTAAGGCTCTGTCATATACTTTCCGTGTACTTTTGTGTATGATATAGACAAAATGACAAATTCCAGCTGACATAAAATGCAATGGTCTCCTGTACATATTTCCTCCTATGTGTTAATGAAATGGAGGTGCAAAGCAGGTAGTATGCATGGATGTTCCTTTTACAAAGCCAGAAAGCAACACTAACACAAAGACAGGTAGAACAGAATTTTCCTGATAAGTCTCAATTTGCAAAAAGCCAGTCATATGCTTCTGACTTGCTTCAGTGACAACTGAGGGAAATTGCTTCTTTGGATTTAACTACAAAGGGCTCATTGTGAATCAGCAGGGGTCTTATGTAGGTGTGCCCATGTGGCCAAAAGTTCATAACAAAGCCCAGGTGAAGATGGTAGGCAGGGTGATTAGGTACAATGAAATCTATATTTTTAGACTTCAAAAAGTTCAGGAAAAAAAAATTAGGTATGCTCCCATGATCAGAAAGGATGTACAGCTCAAGAGATATGAGAAGGATTAAAATATAAACTCTTTGTGATACAATCACCAATTATCTTGGTGTCAAAAAATCAAAGTTGACCATTTAAGCCAATAAATATGGCTGCCAAAGCAGCTCCCTAGTAAACTTGGCTTTCCAAAGGGAGGTATAAAAGGCAGATAGGTGTGTAACAGGGACTGGTCCTCCTCTGAACAGAAACAAGTGTAGGAAGGCAGACAACAATAGTTTGATAACCTCCGTTTCAGCACCAAGTCCATCCCACAGACAGTGTGATGGTAACAAGTAACTGAGAAAATCAAATTATGCAACTCCTACTTAGTATCTGTCTTCACCGAAAATATTCTTACCAAAGAAAGCATTGAATGATTAAGGTGAAGAGGAATACAGAGCCCAAGAAAACTGATAAATCAGAAAGTGATCATCTCTCTACATTAAGTAATTCTAACTCTCTGAGTCCAGGGTAATTATACCCAGAGGCTCATGGAGAACCTGCTGATTATAGAAGCATTGTCCATATTTGGAGACATCAGAGGGAATGGAAAGAGACTGCAGAAAACTAAAAGAGGCCAAATGTCATTTCAAAAGGGACAAAGGATTCTAACACTACAGGAACTAAGCTTGACATTCACAACTGAAAATTCTGCAGAAGGAATGGTTAAACATGGGATATGCGACATTTAGGAAAGAGAGCAATGAATACCAGGAGCCAGTATAGGTTCATGAAAAACAACCCCTACCCTACTAACTCCGTTTTATGTTTAAAGTAGGGTTTCCAGCAAAGGAATGTTGTAAATAGAATGTATTTTGATTTCAGATAAGATACAGATCAAGAGTTTCAAGATTTCCTTGTGGAGATGGAGCTGATATGTTGTTAGCTGAATAACTCCATAGAAGTGAGGATTATGTTCAAAGTCATTTTGCAGGAAGGCCTTCAGTGCTAACAGGGCTCTCTCCTTGGTTCTATACAATTTAATTTATTTTAGGGCAATGATTTAGATGAGGACATGTAAGTTATGCTCATTTGATATAAGCTGGGAGGCATAGATAAAGTATGAGGTCACATCATCAAGATTCAAAAATATCCCAACTAGTTGGTAAACGGCTGAAAACTCTCAGGGTAATTTCTGTGTAAATTTGGCCGTGTTTATATCATTAAAAAAAAAAAAATCAAACGTTCAAATACAGAACAAATGAGAATCACCTATGTGCAGCTGATGTAAAAAGTACCAACTGGTTCTAGTTGCTTATAACCTCAGTGTTAGCCAACAGTGTATAATCCAAAGAGCAAATGCTCACTTAGACCACACAATAGCACTGCAGTGATCAGACCAAATTCTGCAATACTTTGTTTGTTTCTAGGCCCCACATTTACATAAGGACCAAGAAAGTTCTAGAAACTATGCCACCTGGGGAAGGACTAAAGATGTTTATTCTGGTAGAAGAATTAGAGGAATTCAAAATCGTTTTAAACATGAAGGGCAATTTTTTTTTCCAGTAAGAAATGCAATATACTCTATCACATTTCAGAGATCATGGCCTGGAGACATGACTGGAATCTACATGGACAAGAGCTGGGATCAAGAAAGCGGAGCACATTCTAAAGACTATGGCTGCCACACATGGAATGTGACACCTCTGTGTGAGTGACCTCCTTGTCACTGATGACCCCGGCAAGGGCGGTGCTGAGAGCTCCCTGGGTGTTTGGAAACATGTGCTCCAGAGTTCCCAGGGCTTCACCCATGATGCAGCCAGACATCAAGGAGTATCTGAATATAATGAAATGAGGGCAAAAACCGGAATAAAGGAGCAGCTCTTTTTCTCCAAATGACCATGTGTTTATGTTAAATACACTTTTTTCCCCCCTTCTTTCAGGTTGCTAAGGGAATGTCATGAATAGGAATGAAAGAAAAGATATTCAATCACACAATACGCTTTGACAATATTAGGCTCTGAAAAAACACAGTCTTCCGTGTACTCACTGTTTTTGCACTGACAAGTTCGACAACCACTGTGATCAAGTTTGAAACCATAAATGCAGTCCTTCTCTGTCAGGGTGCAGTTTGATGACTCTCCACACGCAGGTGGATCAATTGTGATGTAGGTTGGTTCTAATAATAAAGAGAGAAAAAAAATCAATGAAACATATGATTACCTCTTAGATGCTATTCAATCTTTGAAATCCCACACTATGGTAAGTCACAGGAAAAAACCTAATCAGTAATCTTCATCAAATCCTAGACTTTTATACTTTCATAATGTTGTTAACCCCTGAAAAAGAAATATTTTTATTTAAATTTTTGAAAATCCGGATGCTCTATTTCTTTCCATTTGAGCAATTTATGCATTTTTGGGTACACTCACCACTACAGAAGCAGACAAGAAAGGTTAAAATGAATTTAAATCGTTATTCTTCTATTTCCTCCTGATGTTTTCTGAGTTTATTTTTTATAACAATCAGGAAACAGCTTCCAGCTGTCAATTATCTCACTCTCCATTTTGCAATACTTCTGAAATCTATTTAGCGACTTTTCAAGTTAATAAATCAGAGATGTTTCTGAGACTTTCAAACATCTGAATTTCTTTGACCTTTTATGTGACACTCTCTCAATTATTACAGATGACATGACAGATCACATCATCTATAGGAGTTTATACTCAGGGCTTCAGGGAGTGGGGGAGAGAGACACAAGCATTCCGGAGGAAGAGAGAGCAGCCACCCTGAGACGAGATGCACAGAAGAAACCAAGGCCAGAGGTGATTTTGACCTTCACTGCCATGTTAATAATGAAGAATTGTTCTGGCCTAAAGATTACTGTTACTAAACAGTAATCACACACTTATGTAAAGTGTATCATGCGTCTATATAACATCTGAAGTGCTCTTCATAAATGCCTTCAAGTTTTGGATCACAGTGGGAAAGAGATGGGTGCTGTCATTATCCCTATTTTATGGATGAGGAAATCCAGCATACTGACTTGTCCAAGGTCACAGGGTTAGTAAGTGGTGGACCCCAGAGTCAAACCAGGTGTTCTGGCTCTAGGGTCACACTCTCAGCTTCTGTGCAATACAAAGCGCATTGTAATGGTACCTGTTTTGCAGTGATTGATAAGGGACAGTTTATACAATGTCAAACTGTGGAGAGAGTGTTGTCAAAGGAAACAAGGACACTGGCATATTTACGTAGCCTCTTTTCAACCCAAAGATACTATGAACTTCTTCAGAGTAAGCTGCTTCTCACAATATCTTTGTGAAGTGCTAAGTACAGAATGTCTCTACCTGTGTTTTCACAAATGGAAAACATGAGGTGCAGAGAGGGTAAGTGGCTTATCTAAGTTTACATAGCAACCCAGTAGCAGGCTGGGAACAGAACAGAACAGAGGTGCCTGACCTCCTGTCCAACACTCTATCCATTAGTCCACACTGTCTTCTCAAGTTTCGCCTCCTGTTACCATGGAAGAGAGACCAAAAATAAGTGTTTTAGGTGCCACTGATAAGATCAAGAGTTCTACATTTTTATCCACCTGCTAAGAGGCCAGTGATTCAACTCTTCACAGGTAGTGAGCAACTAGGACTTATTAAAGAGATGCTTTCATCAGCATTCTCCCAGTGAAAGTATGTATGAAGACGGTGTAGCACATTCTCTATTTTTATTACAGCACAGTTGGTAGAACATCTCCCTGAAATTTTTATCTAAGATTTCCACTGCTGTGAAATTTCTAATTTCCTTCAACGACTCAAGTATCCTTTCTGACAGGTAACTGTAAACATCAAAAAGTGGTTTAGGGGCTTCCCTGGTGGCGCAGTGGTTGAGACTCCGCCTGCCGATGCAGGGGACGCGGGTTCGTGCCCCGGCCCGGGAGGATCCTGCATGCCGCGGAGCGGCTGGGCCCGTGAGCCACGGCCGCTGGGCCTGCGCGTCCGGAGCCTGTGCTCCACAGCGGGAGAGGCCACAACAGTGAGAGGCCCACGTATCACAAAA